TGGGCTGGGAGGGTTCTTGGTATCCTCAGGAGGAGAGGATGTAGCCTCAAGCTGCACCAGGTTGGACATCAGGAAGAATTTTGTCATGGAAAGGGTTGTGAAGCATTGGAAGGGGCTGCCCAGGGAGGTGGTGGGGTCCCCATCCCTGAAGGGGTTCAGCAGACTGGACATGGCACTCAGTGCTCTGGTGATCATCAGTCAAAGGTTGGACTCAGTGATTGTGGAGGCCTTTTCCACCTGAGTGATTCTGTGATTCTGAGTGTTAACAGCATTGCTTTCCCACCAAAGTGTCTTGGAGCATTTGGCTTTCAAATGTGAACTTTTCCACGTTGCCCAGGAAGGTGTAGGAGAGATTTCTGCCCTGGCTGCTGTCAGAAACCACAGAAAATCAGCACTAAAGGAGCCCAGCTCCCTGGAGGAACACACCATTTTTGGAGACATCTCTTCTGAATCCTCCTAATCTTGTACAGAATCCTTTTGTCTTATCCCATCAAAGTGTGACAAAGCCTTTTCATGGGGATTGTTTTAAAGATGCTCGTGGTTCAACACGATTTCCCTCGTTCCCACGGAGTGCTGTGAATTGTGGCTGTGAATTGTGGCTATTCCAGGGACACCCATGCCCTGCTGGGATTGCTGATGGCCATTGCTGTCACTGGGGCTTCCCAAGGGGACAGGTGATGCTGGAGATGTCCAGGGCAGGGCTGGTATAGCTCTCACTTTGCTCTTTCTTAGGGCAGTGTGTGGGTGTGTGCTCTGTGCTTCAAGGGGAAAACAGTAAATGGATTTGGGAAAACTCTTGTTGTAGGTTTTGCATGGCTCATCTGCAGGGCATGCCCTGATTTGAGACCCATGGAAGCTCCCTCCTTCTCTGCCTCAAAATCTTGCCAATCTCATATGTTTTGAAAATAAAGGCACAGGAGTTTGGTGCTGTGCTGTTCTGGCTGGGTCTGACATGGCCAGGGAGTCCCTGGGCTCTGACTGGGGCATCCAGGCTTTTCTGGTGTCTGGGAATATATTCAAAATTAATTTCTCCATTCTTCCTCCTTGGGGGAAAAAAAAAAAAAAAGAAAGGAAGAATAGGAAGGATTGGAGCTTGCTGAGGGTTTTCTGTTAGACCATTAACTGTGCACAGCTTGTCTCCCAACAGCCCCTAAGGCCATGGTCCTTCATCCTCCCATCCATCTTGTGCCTGTCATGTCCCTGCTAAAATCAAGATGTTTCTGTGGAGGGGGAGTGGAGACCCCTTGCAGATGTGGCTGCACATTGTGGTCTGTCTCAATCACAGATACTTTTATGCTTTTTTCCCCTTGTGACGAGGCCTTGAATTGCTGTGCAGTCTGTGCAAAGTGAGGGCATTGCCCGAGCTCCCAAGCCCAGCCCCTCACTGTGTCCTCCCCCAGGCACCAGACCTGGCAGGAAATCATCTGCAGGATGCTCTGGGCTTCAGGGGTGCTCCATTCTCTGTGCCCTGCTCCTGAGACACTCCCAGGTGGGGTCAAAACTGGCTGCAGTCCTCCTCTTTGCCAGTATCCAGGGGAGGGCTGGGGTGTCTCTGCTGTGTCCCCTTGACTTCTGTACCTGTAAAGCTGCAGTGCTGTGTAAAATCCCACCTCAGAGAGCATTTGGTTGCCACCAGTGGCACAAATCTCTTGGCAAGTGACAGGATCCTGTGGCTCTTCCCCCTTGAGAGGAGTGGAAGGGAGCTGTGGGGACTGGAAATGAAACTGGGCAGGCTTTTTGCAGACATATTTTGGGGTGTAGGCTTTTCCTTACCCCAATATTTTATTTACACTGCTGTGCCCATGGCTGTGGGAATGCTGCTGCCTGGGGTGGCTGTGTCCTGAGGCAGAGCAGGGACCCTGAGGGATGAACCAGCTCCTGCCCTGGGGGGTTCCCAAACCTGCTGTGTTGCCCTCATCCCCAGGGGGGTCACATCATTCCATGCTGGATCCAAGCCTTGGATGTGGCTGTGCCCTGACCAGCAATCCCTGCCTGCTCCTTTTGCCAGTGCCTCGTGTGCTGGTGATGGTTTTAATCAGTAGGAAACATCTGTAAGGCTGATGGATGATGTGATGGTGATACACACCACCTACACGGTCTCCAGAGTGAGTGTATTCATAAAAACCTGGTGGAAACCAATGCTGGCAGGAGATTTTGATTACTGGAAGTCTGGTTCTATCCCAACACATATTTGTATCAATTCTTTGTGAGAGCTGAACGTTGGCTGGCTTCAGAGGGGTTAATCATCATCTGAAGTGGAGTTGAGTAATTGATGTTGCTGCATCAAAACGTTTCCCTCTTCCCATCCCCCTCGTTCTCCCCACTTCCCCCCAAAAAAGAAATTCTTGGCTGATACTCAAAATCCAGTTCAGTTCTCACTGTGTAAGTATTAAACTGTGGGTCTTTTCTTTCAAATTTCTGGATTTTTATGGGCACAATTGGTCTGTTAACAGGATTTTTTTTTGGTGGTTTCAATGCATTTATATCATTGACCTTTGCTTTAAAAAGTGTCTGACAGACTTTGCTGGGCTGGAGCTATAAAAAGGAGTGTTGTAAGGGGGCTTTATTCTGTGGAAGCAATGACCACAGGCAAAGCTTTATATTTGCTGAGTGATTTAATTCTTGCACATGCAGGACTTGGCTCTGTGCCATGTGTAACATGTTGAGAAAAGGTCTGTTCAAGAGCCATTCAAACCAAACTTTCCAAACAGTCCTTTTTTTTTTTCCTTTCTTTTTTAAGCTTTCTTTCCTGTTATTTCTAAACTAACGAGTAAAATCAAGGAACTGTGCCCCAAAATGCTGAATTGAGCTCCAGCAGGGTCATTGGGGAAATAAACCTCCTTGAAAGAAATGAAATGGGAGTCTGTGTGGAAGCAGGGAGGAAGAGGAGGGTGTCATTGAGAGAAAGGCTGGAGCAGGGACACGAGGGAGTCAAGCAGAGCTCTCAGAACTCCAGGGTGAAGATGATGCAGCTCAAATGCTTGATCCTACAAAACCCTGCTCATATGCTACATGTCAAAAAGATGTGTTTTCAGGCTAAACATCAGATTTTCCTCCCCGTAGCACATGCTTTTCCCTGCCTGTCCCTGCCCTCTTACAGGAATAGCAGTAGCAGTCAGGAGCAAATAATAAAAAGCTGCTTTTTGTTTGCGCTTATTTTAAACACTGTGACAACGTTTGGATTAATGTTGGGTCTTGTGAAAAGCTCTTTAAAAGTCAAACATTCTGAGCTGCTTACCAGCCAAACATACTGAGCTGCTTACCAGCATGCCTTTGAATTCTGCATCTGCCCGCTGCACTTCCAGATAATGGCCTGGAGAGCAAGGAAACATCATATTTCTTTCTTCTTCTTGTAATCAGGCCATTAAATATGCTTGAGATTTCAGATTCTGCAGGTATTTAATTGTGTAGCCCCTTGGGCTGAGGGCCATATTTTGGTGAGTAGTTCCTTTTCCTTTGGTAAGCAAACAAACAGAAATACTGAATTATGCTAATTTCTAACAGAAGCAATGTCTTGCCCAAAACATCACAATCTACTGCGTTTTAGTTAAAAACAACACATCAACAGTGCATCAAACATCTATTAGTTTTAATCAGCAGATTTTTCTGGAGGCTTTTAGGAGCAAATTGTGTCTTGCTCAGTCTTTCCAGGAGGAGAGAGGGAACAATGGATGAGCTTTGTGCAGGCACAGTGAGCCCTGAAATGCTGATTTGAAAAGGCATTTCAAAGGTGTTTAAAAGGTGTTTGAACAGGGTGGAGGTCACACAGGGGAGAGCTCAGAGGGTGATGCAGCATGGAAGGGCTGTCTGTGGCTCTGTCTGTATCACCCCCAGTGCAGGTAAATCCATCACCTGGAGGGCACCAGTGCTGTTTATTTGGGTTGCTGTCCTGGTTCCTGCAGGTCCCCCAGGGCTGTCAGGATGTGCAGAGGCACTGGGTGCTCTCTGTGCCTTGGCTTGGCTGTCCCAGTGTGCAGGTGGGATGAGCCACCTCCAGCAGTGGCTGTGCCCAGGCTGGATGGGAAGGAGCATTTATCCATTCCTGTGATTCCTCTGGGAGTTGAGCTAAATGCTGCCAGTGTATGAGTCTGTTATGAAAGCAAAGCGTTGGAAGCCTCTGTGTGGAGAGAGTGGCACAGAAAACCAAAGGAATGAGGGTAACCTTTGGTTTTTATAGCTCCTGGTATTTGTTTGCTCATGGCAGCCACCAGCAATGCCCTCTGTGTTCACAGTGCAGAGCTCCACCCTCCCTGCAGTCACACTGTGCCCAAGTAAGCAGCTCCTGTCTGGGTCAGCTGGAGTGGAAGCCTCTGCTGGGGACAGGAAAACCCTCTCTTGTCTCCCTGGCTTTACTGGGTAGAATTCAGCTGGGGAGAGGGGCCTTGCCCAAGTGTCCATGGAGATGGGGAAAGGATAAATGGGATCATGGAGGAGAAGAGGAGGGAGTGCAGGTGGCTGACACCTGCCCTGGCTGGAGCCAAGCAGGACACATGAGCTGCTGCCCCAGCTCCCAGGGGAGCCAGCAGAGCAGGTGGTGAGCAGGCAATTGTCTGCTCACACAAAAATCTGGGAGGTGCTGCTAGCACTATGTGGAGGGGAGAGGGTGACCCACGTGGGTGCTCTGGGATGGTTCAGGCACAGTGACCATGGGTGTGCCAGTGTCCTGCAGGAGCCAGGGCTGGTGCAGGTGGAGCAGGGACTCCAGAGGGGCTGTGGGAGCATCTGCTGGGGCTGATGCAAGGGAATGGCTCTGGGCCAAGGCTTTCTGGAATGAGCAATGATTTCTGGTGCCCAGCTGAAATTGCTGTCAGGGCAACTGGCTTGGCAGACACTCATCCTTTCTTGAAGTCCCCATCACTTTTTGGAAATGGTTGCCCCTGGGTTTCATGTCCTGCTTCCAGCAGAAAGGACAAAAGGGAGTCTAAAATTCTGCCTGCAGGTTTGTACCTTGGATGCCCCCCAGCAGAGCCTGATCTCACCGTTTGTTTTTCCCTCTGCAGCTCTGGGCAGTGCCAGTGCAAAGCTGGTGTCACGGACCTGAAGTGTGACCGGTGCAGCGAGGGCTACTTCAGGTTCAACGAGACCACGTGTGAGCCCTGCCAGTGCAACAACCTCTCCCACACCTGCGACAGCTCCACAGGTGATGATGTCCTCTTGTCACCATGGGGGTGCTCACCTGCCCCCTCTGTCTCTGGTTTCTCTGTTCTCATTCAGCACACTCTGCTCTTATCCCCTTCATCTACATCTTTTTGCCTTGTGTACCCAAAATCTTTGTCTTAAAGCTGAAATGGAAATGCAAGGTTGGCATTGGTCTCCTTTGAAGGAGGGCAGTGAAGGCTGTGTGCTTTAGCCCAGGCTGCAGTGCAGAGCCCTAACTCAGCAGCCTGTATCAAAAACTGGGGCTCTATTGTTCTCTGCACTTACACAAACACACAACATGGGCTTTTAAAGACCTTTTGTTTAGCTGCTGTTTACCTGGAAACATACCCTGTGCTGGCACTGACGTAAGGGGACTTGCTGCCACAGATAACAGGATTAGAGCTGCTAAAAACTGCCAGCATCTAATTAATACTGCCCACTTCTTATAAATCGCCCTTGTTAATTTTCCTTGATTATTTCTTTGACTCTCTCTCACTCAGATATTGATGGAATGTAAATGTTGAGGCACCTGTGCTTGAACAGCTTATGGGAGGGCAGGGGGAGCCTAATGAGTTGCCATCTCACCTGGAAGGAGGGATCCTGGAGGGGCACTGTTCTGGGGCTGCCTGCACAACCCCCACTTCAGCCACAGCACTCACTTCAGATTCCAAATTCTCCTCAAAACTTCAGGCTGAAAGGCAGTTCTGTAATATTCATCCAGGAGCTTAGAAAGGGGTAATAATTAAAAGTAGTGTTGCAGAATTTGTTGGTGGAGAGGCAGAGCTCATGAAATCAGGTATTTCTGGGCAGTTTGTGCCCGTGTGTTCCCTCAAGGGCTGTGTGTTTGCAGCAGAGGAATGCCCTGGTCCGTGGGCATTGGGTCTGTGTTCCCTGGGGGTGAATTCCTGCGTTCCCTTGAGGATGAATTACTGCATTCACTCCCATGCTGGACTCTGTGTGCTTATGTCCTAGCAGCACTGAGGGATACAAGGCTGTCACTAAAGCTGTGCACACATCAGCTGTCTGACTGATTTGGAGCTGGGTGTGTGGGTTTTGTGAAGGAGGAGGATAATCTGCTCTTCCTTTTTTTCCCCTCAGTGTTCCTCCTGCTCTCAGTTTATCAAAGAAAACCCAGCACAGACCTTGCTCCTGGGATGGGGCTGCTGTCCCTGCTGGGATTGCCCAGTGCTGCCCACAGCATTGCAATGAAAACCCCTCATTTTGCTTAATGACCTGTTGTTGATTTGACAGAAACTTTATGCTGCTGTGGCTGAGGGAACCAAACAAAACCAGAACAGAGAAGTTGATTAAGAATTAGATCGGATGCCTGCTCTAGAGACTGCACTCTGTGTGACCTCCCCAGCTTTACATCAATTCTGTGTAGCCTTTGTCCAATTTTCAAAGTTTTTTCCCATTAATGCTATACTTTGGGCTCCCTCTGCTGGCTCTGCAGTCAGCTCCTGCTTGGCATCACTCTGGCCAGGAGGAATACTTAAAATTACTGGGCATAAATAAATAACTTGGGCAGCAGGAGCTCCCCAGCTGACAGCACTTCCTCTGCCACGACCCTTGTACTCCGTGGTTTGTCTGCACTGAGGTGGGCTGGTGCTTCCCAGTTGGGGTCCTGTGAGGTCTGATCCTTCCCGAGGGCATTATCAGGATGAGAAGTGCTATTAATTATTAAGGCTCTCCACAGTGATACCTGATTGCATGCCTGTGCCTGCTCTGCCTGGCTGAGCAGCCTGCTGACTCAGGGAAACAGCCATTTGCAGGGCTGGTGAGATGGATGTGGGTGATTTCTGCTGATGGGAAAGACATTGGTGCTGAGGTGACCAAGGCCACACAGGTGTGATTCCAGATTTATGCCCCTGTCAGTGCCTGGGGAGCACTGTCCAAGGCAGCCTTGCTGTGACCAGGCAGATGAACTTCCCTGTCCAAGACACCCATCCCACTGAAACAATTGATCCAGGTTTGCAGCTGGAGAAACCAAGCATAGCAGATAATTTTCCCTTCTAAACCTGACATCTCTCCCACAAAAACCACTGGCTCGTGCCTGACAGGCTGCTGAGGGAAGAGCAAACAGTGTGTGGGAGGTGACGCTGAACGAGGGGTGCTGGCAGGGCCCTGCTGGGTGGGTGAATCAGCCACTTCCTGGGTTTGCTTCCTGCCCTTGGCAGCAGGGCTGGCTGCAAGGACATGCCAGGCTGCCGGGGGATGCTTGGCTGTGGAGTCATCACTGTGGGAATTGAGGAGCAGCAGCCGTGTCGGGCTTGTGAGGGAGCCAAACTGTTCTGATATTAATAAGAAAATCTGCTGTGGTCTTTATAACAGTCAGCACAAACCTCAGTCAGGATTTTTTCCTGTGGTTGATGTTGATATGAGACTTGCCCATCCCCCAGCAGCACTGCTGGGTCAGCTCAGTGGATCTGTCCCTGCTCTCCCACTGCTCTGGGCCACCCCAGTTTGTAGAAAGGGCTGTTGCCTTTGCAGACTCTGGTACATGGGATTTAATCCAATCTTCCCTCAGCTCCCTGCCACCTCACCAAGGAGCCAGCTGAATTACAGCATGTTCTGGTGATGGATGGGCTTTATATAGAGGCTGTGCTTTTGTAACTAAGGAGATTTTTCTTCTGGGTCACAGTGGTATCAAAATGCAATTTGGAGGCCATTAGGAGACGGCATCTGTGAAGCCACGGCACGTCGAGTTTCTGATTCAGGGGCTTCCCCAGGAAGGGCAGGTGCCTCCCGTGAGCCCCCCCTTCTCTGCTTCTCTGGGAAGGTCACTGACTGCTGCTGCCTTGTCCTGGGGTGCAGGAGCTGGAGCCACACTGGTAAGATGGAGCTGCCTGCCCCCAAAGCAGGACAGTGGCATGTCCTCACCCCTGAGCACCAGCCCAGGTGGACAGGAAGAGGCTGCACAGAAAAAACTAAAGGTATAAACCTCAGGGACCCCTCATGAGAGTGGGGGACTTTCAGCACCAGTGTTCCATCTCACTGCTGGTATAAATGCAAACTAAAACTGCTTTACTTGAGGAGAATTTTAACACTGATAACTTGTGTTTACCTGCAGTGACCTTTTAGTGGTGAGCTGTGGGGCCTCTGCTGGGGCCACCTGCTTTTTCCCATTATCTGTGTATGTGTGGAACGAGGGGATGAGCATCAGAAGGTCATAAGAGGCCAGGATCATGTTTTGGCCAGAGGGCATCCAAAACCACCTGTGAGCTCTGATAATTGAGTGTGTTCCACGTGGATTCTTGCTCTAAATGTTCTGCTCCAGTTCCTGCTGCTGAATGTTTGCTTGTTCTCCTCTCTGCTCCTCAGGCACCTGCCTGGACTGCCAGGAGAACACGGAGGGGAAGCACTGTGAGCTCTGCAAGGAGGGTTTCTATCGGAGCACCCAGCCTGCCCACGGCTGCCAGCACTGCCCCTGCTCCACTGTGGCATCCACTGGCACCTGCCACTTACGTGAGGCTCTTCTTTTGGTCTAATTCCTCATAATGAAGGCTGCTCTCCTCAGTTAAATTGCCCCTCAGAGTGTGTCAGCCCAAGGTGTTTTATAGCCTGTGGAGCTCCTGTTTGTGGGCACTGGAAGCAGCACCTGCTGTGATGGGTCCCTGGTGCTTGTGTTGCCTCCTGTGAGAGCAGCTGTGCAGGGGAGGGATCAGAATCACAAAATGGTTTGGCTTGGAAGGGATCTTAAAGTCTGGTTCCAGCTCTCAGTGTGTTGCTGCAGTCTGCTCTGAACAGCCTGCAGAGTTTTGCAGAGAAGCTGCTGAGCTCGTGGCAGCCAGGAGGGGGGCAGGAGGTGCTCAGCAGTGCCATGTAGCCCTCCATACTTCTGAGCCTGCTTCTGAACATCTCCATGGGACTCCATGCAGAGATTCCCCAACATAACTGAGACAAGTCAGAGCTGTAATAGTCATATCTGAGACTTTTTTGGATATTTCCCTAATCAGTTTTGCAAGCAAGCTGCTTCTGGCTTTGTATAGGCCCAAAAGTTCCTTTGGATTGCAAGCATCCCCAATATAGTTCCAGCTGTTCTCTGAAATTGCCTGTTTGAGATGGAAATGTTCAGGAATAATAATCTATTTCCTTAGCAACGTGCTGAGTTTGCTCTGTGAGGTTGGTACAAGGCATCAGAACTCCTCAAAGCTGTTTTTTCCCCTACTAAAGAGAAGATGTTGAAGTCAAATGTTGTGTTTTCAGCTCAGAATTTGAGATTGTCAATACTTGGTGGCCACTGATTTTTGTCAGGGTGCCTTGTGGTCAGTTCCCACAGAACAAACCCCACAGCACGGGTGTCTCTGCCAGGGGCTGTGGCCCATCCCTGCTTTGCTTTCTGTGTTCTCCAGAGCCTGGCGAGAGCATCCCGAGGTGTGACAAGTGCAAACCAGGGTACACTGGCCTCAACTGCAACCAGTGTGACAAGGGCTACTACAACTCAGACAGCATCTGCACGAGGTGTGAGTGCAACGGGAACGTGGACCCCGCGCTGTCCCCCAGCGTGTGCCGGCCCGACAGCGGCGAGTGCATCGGCTGCCTCTACCACACCACGGGCTTCCACTGTGAGCTGTGTGAGGAGGGCTACAGCAGGGACTCCGAGGGCACCAACTGCACCAGGAAAGGTAAAAAGTGCTGCTCAAGTCAGTGTCAAGGCTCACTGTGCAGCTGGCCAAAGGTTGGAGAGGGAATGGTGTTAATTGTTTTTGTTAGTTTAGGTTCGTCTGGCCTCTGGTGCAGAGAAGAAAACCAGATCTTTGTAACAGAATCAAAGAATGAACTAGGTTGGAAAAGACCTTAAGGATCATCAAGTCCAACCTATGACCTAACACCTCCTCATCAATTAAACCATGGCACTGAGTGCCACATCCAGGCTTTTTTTGAACACATCCAGGGGGACAGAGACTCCCCCACCTCCAATTCCAGCACACAGTTGTTGGTGCCTGCTGGCCTTGAAAGGTGGTTTAGAGTCAGCTCTGTGACCACCCTGATTCCAGACCCTGGCAGGCACTGCTAGTGACCAAGCTAGAAAAAACCCAGTCCATTTGTAGTGTATTTAATGTAGAATGAGAGAAAATGGTTCTGGAGTTGCTCCTTCAGTGGTTTTCTGGAGGTTGGTTTTCATGGTGGATGTCCATACCATGCATGGAAACATTATCAGTGTGATGTATGAGATGAAAAAACCCAGAGTTCAGGGAAGTATTTAGGCACAAATTTGTCCTTGTCATGGACAGAGATCCAATTCAGATCTTCCATCAGGAGCTAATGTGGTTTTCACTCGTGTGCTGCTCACTGGGTGTGTAATCACAGAGTCCTTCCCTGCTCAGGGAGATGATCACTACAACAAAGTTGCATGCTCATTAGCTGTAACAGGGCTGGAAATGGCACTTTTGCATCAGCTCATCCATTACCTACCCCTGCACAGCTCTGGCTTTGTGCAAGGATCCACATGACCTTGCTCCATTAAAATCTGTATGTATGGCTTTGCTTGGGTACTTGCAGTTTTCACCATTCTGTTTTATTTTGAAGGCATTGTTGTAGCCAGTTCCTGATGTGGGGAAAGCCTGTTCCCTTTCAAGGGGGCTGGGACATGCTTCTTGAGCTTTCCTCTCTCCCTCACACTTATGTTTTCCCTTTTATATTGAGCATTTAAAAAGATGTCCAGCTTCTTTCCAGTTCCTTAAACAAAAATTGTGTAAAAACTGACATGCTGAAGTTACTGAGCATTAACTTGTTTTAGGTTAAGATTTTCATAAATCACCTGTGCATTTGAGTGGCTTCTGGAGTGAAATCATCACCCAGGCTGTGTTTCAGTGGTCACAGGTGAAATGAGCCAGCAGGTTCTGTACAGCCTGGGCAAAGCTCATGTATCCACAGGGGCCATCCAGAGTCTTAAGCCTGACCAGGACTCTGGTGCTTTCAAAGCAGATAGTGAGGATATTCAAAGGTCCAGAGTGAGTGTTTTCAGCCCCAGAGCAGTTGGTGCTCCTGCTGCTGTGGGGTGGCACAGCAGGGACTCCCACTGGTGCACTGTGGCTCTGTGCCACCCAGCCAAGCACCGCAGCCTCCCCGGGACCGGGCACTGGCCTCCTGCCAGAGCTCTCCACTGCAGGAGGCAGCAGCAGCTCTGCCGAGCCGGCGCTTCAATCAAGCAGCTGGATCTGAGGCTCCCGTCAAAGCTGCCAAAGCAGCCCATTGAGTGAGCAGCTGCTGCTCTCAAGGAGCTGCTCTGGGACATCTGGAGGGCTGGCAGGGCCCCGGGAGCGGAACAGGGAGCGGAACAGGCAGCGCCGTGTCACGGCCCGGGGCCAGAGCCGGCACTTCACCATGACGTTCCTGGCAGCGCCAGGAAATGTCTTCACCCCAGGCCTCCGTGCCAGCCCTGAGCTGATGCTGACTCACACATAAAGCCCAGAAAAGTGCTGTTTCCTTGCTGGTGAATCAGCCATTGTCTCGGTTCTGTTTTTTTCCCTACTTACAGCTTTGCCAGGGATTGAGTGTTGGTGAAGGAATTTGGAAAGGATGACTGAATTCCTCATGCCCTTTTCCCAAAGCCAGAGGTTTTCCAGGAACTTCTTGCTCCTGTCATGTTGCTTCCTATTGCAAAATTTTGCCTGTCATGCCATAGAGAAATGCCTTCTGGCATTCAGCATCCTGTGTCCTTAACAGCCTGAGGCAGGAGCTGTAGGGAACAGAGGAGCTGCTGCAGGGAGGGGACTCTGAGCAGAACCTCAGTCAGGTGTGTGGTGCCCCTTCCAGAGGAATTTCTTTCTCTGCCTGAACTGGAAATGTGACAGCCCAAAGTTAACTTGTGGGAGTTCCCCTGAGGGCCCGTGGCAGGACATGTGCTGAATATTTCCAGCTCCTGTTGCCATTGGAGATGCAGCTTAGTGCAAAATTAGTCCTTCGGAAGTGACTCTCCTCCTCAGTCATAATTAGTAGATGTTCAGGAGAGCTGGAAGCTGGATCTGTACAGCATGGCACCATCAGCTGTAATTGCTGCAGCTGTACACGGATTTAAAATGAAGTTGCTTTTCTGTTGGCAGGAAGAGAGTGGGAAAGAGGATGCAGAGAGTCCTGTGGAGCAATAGGTGCAGAGAACATTCTGGCTGATTGAGGCTTCAGTTTGTGGAGTGTTCCTGTTGCCTGAACTTGAGAATCTAAAATAGATCAGGTTATTCATGTGAGGAAATGCTTTATTAGCTACATTTGTGAGCTTAATACTACAGATTTCTGGTGCTGTCTGAGGCCTGTAGCTCAGCAGGTTTGATGCAGGCATAATGAATTCACATCCCACTTCTGAGATCTCAAGGTTAACCTGACTCCTGAACTGAGAAGGAAGTTTATCCCATGGCTGTTGGAAGCAAGCGAGGCTCTTGGCTATTTAGGAAAAGCCAGAGCACAGTCTGGTAGTTCCCATGTTCTGATCTTTCCTGTGGGCACCTATGCCAGCAGCTGAAGCCAAACCAGGATCCCAGCTGGCCTCTGCTGGGTTCAAAAGCTTCTGAAGGACATCCACAGTCTTTTTTTGTTGTGATTTGGTGATCTCCTGCTTATGGCTGTGTGGACTGGGGATCTCCATGTGGCTTGTGTGTGACTTCATTCAAAAGCAGAACTGAGGTTATTTTGCCCTTTTACCTAAAGTGGTGTGAACACTGAACCCACTAGTTCATTTTTTCAGTTTTGATCTTCTTGTTTGTACAAGTAGGGCAGAAATAATAATACTGAGAACACAGTCCTACATCTGGTGCACTGGTTGTGAAGGGTTTAAGCTGCTGGAGTTGCTGTGTGTGAGTGTGCAGCCCACACAGACACCAAGGGATGCGTTGGTTCAGAGTCCAAACTTGCTGAGCTTGGTAAAGCCTCATTTTCCTGGTCTGAACAGGAGCTGGACTGGGACTTGCTGTCATCATGAGCTCCTGTATTGAACCCTGAGTCGTGACTGCTGCACCTGTCCCTCAGCACCAGACTTGTCAGAGCAGTCCTGTAGTCCGTGGACACTTAGCACACAGAATTATATTTAAAAAACCCCCACACAACCCTGGACAGACATTTTTTAAACTGCTTTGAAAAAATACCAGTTTAGCAGTGCAGCCTTAATTGCCATAATAACTGTGATATAAATGTCAAATCTCTTATGTTTGTGTTTGATTTTCAGCTCAGCAGATTTTCTTATTGATCATTTTTTAATTTGTTTTGTAGAAGCCACTCTTGGCCCAGAACCAAGGGAGTTTACAACTTCAGCTCCAAATACCACCAAGGCCACATCCTTTTCCACGGCAGTGCTAAACAGTACTTTGTCACCGACAACTCTACAGACAATATTTCCTATAAGCTCCTCTGACAACAGCACCTCTGCTTTCGCAGATGTTTCATGGACTCAGTTTAACATCATTATTTTGACAGTGATCATCATTGTTGTGGTCCTACTAATGGGCTTTGTGGGTGCTGTCTACATGTACCGTGAGTATCAGAACCGAAAACTTAACGCTCCCTTTTGGACCATTGAACTCAAAGAGGACAACATCAGTTTCAGCAGCTACCACGACAGCATTCCCAACGCTGACGTGTCGGGGCTGCTGGAAGATGATGGCAATGAGGTGGCCCCCAATGGACAGCTCACGCTGACGACTCCCATGCATAATTATAAAGCTTAGAAGTCATCCAGCTATTCCAAAGTTTGCTTCTCAAAAAGTGGCAGGGCTTGTGGAAGGGGTGTCAGGATCCGTGCCAAGGCTCCACGCAGAGGAATTTGCTCTTCAGATGCTCTCTGGTGCAAGGCGTGCTGTAGCTTGCAGGTGAACAGAAGACAGTGCAGTACCCCTGAATTTCAGGTAGTGTGGTGAAATGCATTCAGTGTTCTCCATAAAGATCCATAGAATTCACTGTTGTTACAAACTGGATTGTGCTGAATTGAAACTTTTTTTATGAAGAGGTGGTGGGGTGGAGAGAGCAGAACCCGATGAGGAGTCAGAAGCTACTTGGTTTCCAGCCAACCCAACCCTTGTGTCTTCATCCTTTAGTTTGAGAAGTAGCTCATGAATTAACAGTGGAATTTCAGGAAACAGATCTTTGGAAAGGCATCATCTTCATTCCTGACAAAAACTTATTTGAAAAGGAGAACAAAAAGAAAGGGAAGTAATTGTTCACTGTACTACCAAAAGGCAAGTAGGAGGAGTGAGTTGCACACTGAAAAAGTCACCATTATCTGTTCCCATTAAGCAGGGAAATGGGAAAAAAGTCCTAAGAACACTTGAGTTAGGGAAGAGACTAAGCTCTTCCCTTTCTGAATATTTATACAGGGTGATGATGCTATTAAGACATAGCAATCCATTTTTTTCTAGAAGGAGTTAATGAACTTGTATAGTTTCTGTGCAAGGGAAGACGACAAGACATCTCAGGGTTGCCATGTAAAAATAAAAGCCAGGCTTAATACCCTACCCTGATAGAAATGGTGTGTTCTGTATATAAAATGTAATATATCTTCTTGGAATTGTATTTGTAATTATTTGTAAAAAAGACAAGCAACCAACTGACCAACCAAAAAATCCCCAAAAACAAAACCATGAGCCCCTCCCCGACCTCCCCCACTCCCCAGGTCATGTTTTATCCTCTAGGTTTTAATTGTACAGCGGTTAGTGACGTTGTTTAAAAAAGAAAAAAATCATGAGGATTGTTTAAAATACTGTAAATGAGATGGCAATATTGTTGGAGCTGGGCCTCTGGCAAACACCAACTGCTTAAAGCTTTTCTTCCACTGTCATTGAATAACTTCTTTTTTAGAGAAAATGTGAGTGCTCCCTACTTGTATCTGTCAAATTTTGCCATTCCTTCAAATACAGAGTGAATACCAGTGTTGCCATGACTAAGGCTGAGTAGGTGTCCAAAAATTGGATGCACCAATGTATTCCTTGCTTTTCATTCTCTCTACAAAATGCAAATACACTGTCACAAACACTCTGAGAGCCTGGGCTCCTTCGCTGAGGTTCTCCCAAGTGGGTGCTCATCGTGTGGAGGGATCCCACTGCCATGCTGAGCTGCCATGGCTGGGGGGATGTGCTGGAGAGCTGAGCTCAGCCCCCATGCCTCCTGAGGGCCAAAGGTCTCCTGGATTTGGGTGGAAACAGCTTTGGGATGAAGAGCTCGCAGGACCCGATGTGCGCTTCGAGGCTCAGAAGGTAAAAGGGCACAGATGCTTTCAGCACTTAAAGTAGCACAAGGTGGTGATGGGGAATCAGCTGTTAAAAAAACACTGCAGGGAACAGGTTTTACAGATTCCCCTGGTTTTGGTGAGAGGCTGGTGGGCTGTCAGCAGAGAGAACCACTCACAGGTGGCACAGGGAGGTCACACATGGAGCTCCTGGGTTGGTACCTGCAGTGTGTGCCTCAGGGCAGGGGCTGTGCTCCCTGTGCCACCTGTCCCACCCTGGAAATCAAACTACTGCATGGAAACAGGGCAGGAAACAAATATTTCCCCCCACTGTTGCTCAGCCTCAGAGCTGCAGCTGCGTTGCTGTGTGTGTGGGGCAATGGTGATGCAGAAGCTGGTGGATGTATCCTCTGAGCCAGGAAAACGTGAATGTTTCTCCAGATGAGAAATGGTAGAAAGAACATGTTGGTTATTTATTTGTTTTTTGGTGCTGTGAGGAGGTTTCTCTTATATCTGGAAACTTGGCAGGGGGGAAATAGGTGATTCAAACACATGCTCAAAGATGCCATTTCTGCCTGGAATAACTTGCTGTCTGATTTAAATTTGAGGCATGGCAAATCAGAATGAAAATTGTTGAGGATGACCAAGGGAAATGGTGAGGGCAGAATATGGAATTGCATATAGGCCCAAGGTGATGGAAAAAAGCTAATGGAATAAAACTGATGGAAAAGCTCCTGAGGCATGGCAAATCAGAATGAAAATTGTTGAGGATGACCAAGGGAAATGGTGAGGGCAGAATATGGAATTGCATATAGACCCAAGCTGATAGAAAAAAGCTGATGGAAAAGCTCCCGTTGCCTGCAGTGGGCCAGGGTGAGGTCCCATATTCAGGTAACAAATCTGGCTCATGTCATTCAGAACAGTGTTACTTTTAGCTATAAAACAGGGGAGGACTGGAGGAGAAAAGCTGGATATTGCTAATCTTTGAGTTACGCATCAAACTTTTAAAGAGCAGGGTGGTGCCAAACCAGAAAATTTCCTGGAAGTTGTAATTATTGCTGATCTAGCAATAGAATTGCACTTGGTCACTTCATGGGTGAGGAAAGGTAATTTAGGAAGTGCTGGCTTCTGAGACTGATGCTAGCAAGCAAATCAAAGGACAGGTTGTTCACTTTAATGTTTCTAAAATACTTTAGCAGATTTTTTAATCTCTGCCACAAAACACCTCTTCCTTAAATTTGCTGTGGGCTGCTTTGTAACAGGAACAGGCTTGGATTTTGTCTCTCTGTAGAAGTAGGGACCATCTGCTCAAGCAGAGCGTGGGCTCAGGTGCTGAGCCCTCCTGGTCCCTGCCTGCCACAGCACAGGAGGTGTTGGCACCTGGGCTGCTTCTGACCTCCAAAGTAATCCAAAGGCTTTGTGTTTGGGAGGAGGAGGAGTCAGGATGCCCTGCAGGGTGGGACAGCTGCTGCCTATGGATTGCACAGCTGGATGAAGGGATGGAGACAGCCTGGAAATGTGATGGGAAGCTTGGTTGGACAGGGGGGACCTGGCTGCCCAGATTTGGAAGGCACAGGATGTTCCTGAACAGGGAGCACAGTGAGGATGTGGCACTGGCACCGTGCTTGTCAAATGGCAGAATGACACCTCCTGCCACCCAGGCCTGGGCACACAGGAGCAACAGTAATAAAAGGAGATCAATACCTCAGCAGGGAAAGAATAAACAGCTTCTTGTTTGCCTTTGGTGATGTGAGATCAGATTGCTCGTGCTCTTATCAGTTCCCCTGGCACCACAGGAGGGGAGGAAGAGGCTGAGCTGGTTCTGTCTCCAGTCACCTTGGGCTGGGTTGTACCTGGAGGGGTGGCAGAGCTCAAACGCTTGTGCCAGGTACTGGTGCCACCAGCACCATGCTGCGTGTCATCGCTTGTCTGAGGCTCCGCACGTGCTGAGGTTTGTCCTGAGGGTGGGTAAGGGCAGGAGAACCAGAAGTGGACTCTCAGGGCTGTCTTGATGCCCAGCTGAGCAGCCAGCGAGGCCAGGGGAGGGCATCTTGGTGACTTGTGGGGCTGAGGTGGCCATCCAGGTACACGTGTAGCACCTTGTGCCTGGGAATGCTGCCCAGCTGCGGGGCTGGGCTGTCACAGAGAAGGGCACTCATGGCAGGGGACAGCAGCTCAGAGCAGAGGGGGTGTGACAGAGCTGGTGGATGTGGGAAAGCAGCTCCAGGCACTGTCCTTGGCAGGGTGAGGGCCCAGCTGGCCTGGCTGGGGTGAGCCCAGCCTGGCAGTAAAGGCAGAGGGACAGAAGGAGCAGATGAAGGGCACAGAGCTGGGGTGGGGCAGGGCTCGGGGCAGCCTGCAGGGCTCCCAGCTTGGGGGAGCACTGGGAGTGCAACAGACATGCAGAAAAGTGGTTGGGCTAATGAGGAGAGATATCTCCAACCTCGTGGACCACTGTAGCTGGAAATAGCTATGAGGAGCACTAGCCCTGGGGAGCTGTCAGGAGATGTCAGCCACTGGAATGATAAAATTCCCTTGGACCAGGCTGAGCAAACTTAGCAGGCATTTAGGAAAGAGGAGGCGATATATCCAGCATCCTTCAGGTATCCTGGGCCAGTTAACCACTGCTGTGCAGCATCATCCTCTTCAGTGTTACAGGCAATATAAATGTGGCAGAAAGTTTGCACAGTCTCCTTTAAATAAGGGATATAAAAATAGTTTTCTCTTTAGAGTGAAGTTTTAGAGTGAGCTCCCACAGGACTCTGCTCTTTATGTGTCACAGGAATGGATTAAAATAAGAAAAATGTGGGCCTTAAAAGTTGTACTTGCTCCCATCTGAAACCCATCAGTCTCACTCTACATCCAAATACGGCATCTCCCAAGCTTATGCTATGCTTACAAATGCATTTCTAAAAAGAAAAAAAAGTGTATGATTTGAATATATGTCAGAATTTATACAGAAGAATGTTATTTAAAATGAATAAAAATAAATGTATATAATTTGTATCTATGCCACTTGGATTTTTGCATTTGTGTTTTGTTCATTGAATTTCAGCAGGAGTCTTCCCAGTGACAGAAAGGATTGAATCCAATCTCATCCCAGTAATAACATTTGTTCCAAGAGAATTATTCCTTCATTATGCCCCTGTATTCAAGATGAGAACCAAGGCACAAAAATGTTTTCTATCACAGATATTCATAAGCACAGTTGACATTCTGTGTCGGAAAATCCAGCTAAAAAATGAGCCCTCTGATCTCCTGTGTCTGCTATGAACCATCCCAGCCCTCAGCTGTGTTTGGGAGCTCCACAGGCAATGACTGTTTTCCCACTGTTTTCTGTATCATTCACATGGACACATTTTGTCAGAGATGTGAATCACTAACAGGGAAACCCTCAGAGCAAAGCTGGAAATGGGATGAGGATATTGTATCAGATTTTTCTTCATGACCACAGATGTCTTTCAAAGGCCATTTTTGTTACAGAAACTCTGAAATGCACATCTGTGGCATCAGTTCTGGGAGTGTTTGCAGAGGGGCCCGTGGAAAACTTGCATTTCCTTCTCTCTTGGCAGAGTTAGGAAACTGATTTTGTTTGCAAATACAACTGCTAAAGGCTCTTTTTTTTTGGTGAAAGCTGTGTGTGACTCTTCAGCCCTTATTAAGCAAAGAACTTGGAGAGGTAAGGCTTCATACACTGAGCGAGCACATGGTTTTAAGTGTTCATTCAGGCATTTGAGCCAGAGCTGTGTAAGGAAGGGCCACACTGCTGAAATTCGAGGGAGTTTATTGAGACCTGATTTGCATTAGCAGAGCAGTTGGATCGTGCATGACTTAACTTGGGAAGAATCTTGCTGTGAGCTGTGTGAGGAGGAGGCAGTGCTGAGTCTGAACCAGGTCCCCGGAGCAGGGGGTGAGGACAGGAGGGTGAGGGGGACCCGTGTTCAGCTGGTGGTGACATCAGCCCTCCTTGTGCCAGCACAGCCAGCAGCTGGCTCCCGTCCTGCTCAGCTCAGCCCCACCACTGCCCTCCTTTCCCAGCCTCCCTTTAGGACTCTGCCTGAGGTGGGAAGGATCTCAGGCTGCCTTGAGAAGGAGGAAAGCTCCAACAAGGCTTCCTGGCATGAGGCTTTAGTGTAATCTCCCCAAATGTGCTACTAATGAATTTAAGGTTAAACAACATTAAGCAGATTATCCGAAGGCAAGTTGTTAAGTGTTTCTAAACAACACATTTCCCAGCCCCTTCTGCCCCTTGCAGCTTCCTGGTGCTACTGCAGCTCGTAAAACATGGGACAGTGCAGTAAATTTCCCAGGGAAATTTTCCATCCTGCCTGTGTG